GGGCATGCGTCGGCATTTAAAGGAGGTGTACGCACTTTTCCAGTCCCCAGAACATCAGCGATCCGTTTTCTCTCATCTAGCTGACAAAGGAATTGAGTGGCGATTTATACCACCCCGTGCACCACATTTCGGTGGACTTTGGGAGGCTGGGGTCAAAAGTATGAAAAGTTTGTTATATCGCGTTTTGGGAGAAGCTCGGCTCACGTACGAAGAATTATTAACTGTAATAACGAAGGTGGAAGCTGTACTTAACTCGCGACCAATAACTCCAATATCTTCTGATCCGGTTGATCTAACCTACCTCACGCCAGGTCATTTTTTAATTGGCGATATAATGACTGCCATACCGGAAAAGGACGAGACGACCACGCCTATTACTCACTTAAATAGGTGGAGAATAGTCTCTCATTACACCCAAGTACTTTGGAAACGGTGGCACCAAGAGTACTTATCTCAACTACAGGAAAGAACCAAATGGTCCAGCACGAAAGGGCCTAAGTTNCACAGGAATGAACCAAATGGTCCAGCACGAAAGGGCCTAAGTTACAAATTGGAACTATTGTGTTGGTAAAAGAGACAAATTTACCACCACTCAAATGGCAAGCTGGGCGTGTAATGGAATTATACTGTGACGATGACAACGTGGCACGATCAGCAAAGGTCCGTACTAACGTCGGCGAGTTTTCACGAGCGGTCAGGTTATTATGTCCGTTACCTTTTGAAGGCAACAGTTTGTAGCCAGTTTGTAATTTATTTAAATTTCTTATAATTCGTAGTTATTGTAATATATATGTGTCATATCCCGTGTGGGATTAATCATTAATTTTTCCATAATGAATTTGTTTCTAATGATTATTTGTATATTAAATTTTTTTTTTGTATTTATGTATTAACTTTTACGTTTTTAGTTGTTGCGAAATTTGTTCCTAGATTATAGTTGTTTTTGTTATCTTTTACTTTGAAACAAATATTTCAAGGCGGGCGGTGTGTTTAGGCCTACACAATAAGTGTAGCTATTTTTGTCTTATCTTACCGTTGTTCGGCGGCTACATAGTTGTCCGGTTTTAAAGTCAGTCTACCTTTGTAAAGCGCACCGCTCGCGTACATAAAATAAACGCATATCTATTTTTTTGTCTTTTACGTTTTCATTTAATTTATCGAAGATCTTTTAGTCGTAAGAGATCACGCCGAAACATGTATTAAATAGTTAATAGTTCAAGAGTAATACATGATTAAGGATAAACAAAAGTAAAAATAATCAAATTGTTTTTTTTATGTAAATAAGTTTTGATAACAAAATTATCCTGTTTAATAGATTAATAATATTTAGATTATAATAAACTGTATAAACGTTTACATGTTAAGTACGATTAACCTGGGCCCAAATGTGGATAAATTTACCTATACCTAATACTACACCACTGTAGTTAATATATTTTTAGATTATATTAATATTTCATTACATAGATGAGCTTCAAGATTTTAAGGTAGAGTCTATCAATTCAAGTAAATATTTTAAATGTTTTCTAAGAAAAGTTAAAGAATCAGAAAAACACGATGGTGGGAGAAAACAGAAGGTTTTACAAAAAAAAGAAGGTAAATCCGTAATTTAAAATTATACTTAAAAAAATAAGCATATTACTTTGTGTAATTTACTTATACAATTCATACCCTATCTAAAAAAACTTGATTTTCAATAGCAAAAAATTTTTCGCAAATATAATTACAGAACCACTTTCAAAAAGTCCATAGCTTATTACTATATCTTATTTTATAGATAAGATTCAAGACTTAACGTCCGAATTTATCCATTCAAGACAATTTTTTTTTAAAAATAGTAGCGAACTAGTAAAACGGGAGAATGGAAAAGAAANTCCATTCAAGACAATTTTTTTTAAAAAATAGTAGCGAACTAGTAAAACGGGAGAATGGAAAAGAAACTATGGTTGACAAAATAACCGACTTAAGGGAGTCAATAAAATGTGAAATTTTAAATGACCCACAATTGGAAATCATCATTCGAAGTATTTATTCATATTTTAAATTATTATTCCATAAAAATATATGATTTAGTTAAAAAAATAAGAAAGTATACTCCGACAACTTATTATTTTTCTTAAAGTATCCATAATTTTACTAAAATTTAATTTAATAGATCAGATTGAAGATTTAATATGCGAAATCGTTCAAGAAATTGTTCAGAAATATTTAATGGAATCTTCCGATTACTTGATAAAAAATATTAGTGGTCAAGAAAAACGCAAGACGGTCGAAATAAAAATAAACAAAACATTAACCGAGTTAAAGGACATACAGCAAAATAATGGTAACTCTATATATTTTAATTTAATAGAGAAAAATAACAAAAAAAAAATGATAGTACATTTATAAATTTAAGTATAAAATGTTNGAAAAATAACAAAAAAAAAATGATAGTACATTTATAAATTTAAGTATAAAATGTTATGTTAATATTCTAGATTTTATTCCTTCTGCTCCGCCACTTCCCCAAACTCTACCAACGCTACAAAAAGCAGAAAATAATATTAAAAGCAAAGGTAAGGTTGATAGACCAGTAGGTCTACCAATAAATCTTATAGAGGAAATCAAACGTGGCGTGAAATTGAAGGTAAACCTTTTTAAAATATAAGAATAGAGTATTGTTTAAATTCTATATTATAGCTTAATGTAAGCAAAACGATTTCCTAAAAATTTAATTTCCTCAACATATTTGATGTTAAAATGAGTATTTTAATGATAACAGTTAATTTTTTTTTAAGTTTTTAAATAAAGATATATAATATTAGTATAAGTATTTGATTTTTTAATTTAATATAGCCGGTAAATTCAGCGGTTAAAGTATTAGAAAAACCAAATATACATGACAAAAATCTTCAAGGAATGAACCCATTGGATAGTACTTGTATAAATACATAAAAAGTCACTGTTTATGTTAACTAAATATGAATATTTTCCAGATATCATTCCTTCACCACCTCCCCATACTCTACCAAAGCCATTAAAACCAGAAAATAATATTAAAAGCAAAGGTAAGGTTGATAGACCAGTAGGTCTACCAATAAATCTTATAGAGGAAATCAAACGCGGCGTGAAATTGAAGGTAAACCTTTTTAACAATTAATAATAGAGTATCGCTCAAATTCTATATTATAACTTAATGTAATCAAAATAAATATCTAAAATCGATATAGTATTTTAATGATTAAAGTTCAATTTTTTTTTATCGTACTTATTAAGTAGATCATATATTAATGAATCGCATTTTGAACGCTTCATAAAACTTTTTGAACTACATATTAAATTAGATGAAATAATTTCACCTATTTTAATTATACTTCAAATAAAATATATATTTTTTTGTAATGAATTTTTTTACGTTTTTTAACTTTTTGTCATTCTTATGAAGTGAATATGAAATAAATATTAATGAATCGCGTTTTAAACACTTTATAATAACTATGAAGTATTAATATAAATATATTTTCAAATTATTGATGCATTATATTTTAATATTGGATGTGTTCATTAAATTAATTTTTTTTCTTTAAAATCCATTTATTATAAGTATATATACATAAGTGATATGGTATTTTTTGAACCGCTTGGTGTTGATTTCACAATCTGTCAAAGTCAAAATAAAATATTAAAAAATATATACAATCTTAGTACAATATTGTTTAATATTTTATAGCCGGTGAAGCCTGTAGTTTCAGTAATAGAAAATCCAAAAATAGATGAGAAAGATTTTGAAAGAATGAACCCATTAGGTATTCCAATGTTTCGTCGGGCAAGTATGATGTCGAACAGTTCTAGCTCCGACACATCATCAGAATACTTTTCTCTGGATGAATGGGATTAACTAATTGAAAATTAGTAATTTATAAGTCAACCGCTCTGGAGCATAGTAAGAGTGTAATCGAAGAGTGATCAAGATGAGCTGAGGATACCGGTTTGTCNTGTAATTTATAAGTCAACCGCTCCTGAGCATAGTTAGTGTGTAATCGAAGAGTGATCAAGATGAGCTGAGGATACCGGTTTGTCTAAAACGAACAGACAAACCAGACACAAACGGACCATCTCATGACTTTGTACCTACTATGTTTTCAAAACCTGAACCATTAACCAATTGCTAACAGCGATGTTGGAGGTTTTAAATAGAAAATTTTAATTCAAAATTTAATAATATTGTCCATGCTAATATTTTCGAATTATTTTTATTTTGTATACAATGTATTATTAAGATTTTTTCTAGTAATAAAAATAGATAAAAATGTCTGGTGTTGTTTAATTGCGTTTTATTTTACTTTTACTTGAATTCTAATAATCTGGTAAATTCAGGTAATAATATATTATTATTTTATATTATTTATGTTTCCTATATTTAAAAAAATAAATACTGACCCTTATCCGAAAAAAGATAATGATCAGTTAAATTAAAATTATAAGGTGGAACATACTAAGACCCCTGATAGGGATATAACTATGTTGAGAATTATGGANAACTATAAAAAATGATGAAATCGGTTAACTTTCTTATACGTTAGTAACCTTGTTATTAGTGCAAATTCGACTATACTGCCGAAAAATGTTAGATATAAAAATCGAACAACGTGTTAACATTAAATTTCTTGTTAAATTAAAAAAAACTGCCGCAGAATCATTTCGTATGTTATGTGAAGTTTATGGTGAAGAATGTTTATCAAGAGCTCGCGTTTTTGAATGGCACAAACGGTATTGCAATGGAAGAGAGGACGTGGAAGACGATGATCGTTCTGGACGTCCTATCACATGTTCAACATATGAAAACGTTGAAAAAATAGACAAAATTATCCGGCAAGATCGTCGATTNAATGAAAACGTTGAAAAAATAGACAAAATTATCCGGCAAGATCGTCGATTAAGTGTTAGAGCTGTAGCAGAGATGGTAAATATTGATAGAGAAAGTGTTCGTAAAATTTTAGTT